GCAAGAAAGAATTAATCCTTATATCTTACATATTAGTTTATCACCTTGTTTGTAAAGGAAATGGACCTCCTTATATTCTCGCTACTTTCTTTAATTCTTTGGTGTGTGTAATTTCATTCTAGAAATCTAAAAGGGAAGCCATTTCTTTTTAGAAAATACATAGCTCTTCTCGGTGCCTCCTAATTCTTTTCCATGGATATGAAAAATAGAGTTGTTTCCTAAAATCGAAAAAACACTCTTAGCAAAATGGCTCTAAAAGCATTATTGTACCAATTTACAGTTTCCTCTTAGGAATTCTCGCACCTTTTGTTTATCGATAGGTTCTTTCTTCCTTCCAAAGAAGCGATTGCTGAAAGCAAAGATCGTTTATAAGCAGTTTGAATAAGCTTTTCCATACTCCTGTTCAAATCTTTCACAATTTTGGCAATTGATATGTGATGCAAAGACTAACATTTACAATCTTTGCCAAATATATGTGGTGATCTGTCAAATATTTAGGATGGACCGAGCAAACCAAGGACTTAGATAAATGGTTAGCTCTCTCAAGGTATCTCGTGTACAATCTTTCCCTCGCATTGGATTATTGAAGGTACAATATTAATTATTCTCCTGCATTTAACCCTTAAAATTGATGTTACACTCAATGATGCAAGAGTTACCACCATCTCGCATTAATCAAACCATTGTTCCTTCTTCCAAGATGGTCATGTCAATCCACACGCCCATTCGCAAACCGAACATCTATGGAAAACTCCATATTTCGTATAATATATGCTCGTTGTTGTGTTCTTCATCGTTTGTTTCTAAGAAAACAGTATCTCATCATCGTTGATAATTACAGCTGTCAGTTAGGTGACTCAATTTTAGTTAGGCGTCTATAATATTTGTTATTGTCAGCATTGTGCCATTTCTTAGATAGATTTTTGGCCATTTCTCGCGCGCATGGGCGCGCACAAATCACTAGTAAGTAAAGGGAAGGGCAAGAATTGTAAGGAAATGGTCCTGTTCGCTTGTACTATATCAGTGAAATTACAATATTTTTCTCTCACAGCAAATCAGCATTAGTATCTAATATCAGCCGTTTTTCAAGCAAGCCGAACAGGGTCAAAAATCGACACGCACACCAGATAATGATTATTTTAATAAAAATATACCCAGGTTTAAAAAAAGAAACGGACTTTGGATGGCCAAGTCTAACGATTGCATGTTGGTTTGGTCGTTTGCGCGCACGTGGAAGGTCCCGACTCGGTTTAAGGATCTGTTTGACAGGGCTTCTCCACCAGCTTCAGGAGCCGTTTGGAGCCGTTTTCTGCCAAACGGGGTAAAGTGAAATAGCTTCACTGGTGAAGCCCCTAAAAACATGCTCTCACAATGATTTGGGATGGGATGAAGCAAAAAAAAGTGGCTTCTTCTACAGACCCCTAAAAACATGCTCTCACAGGGAAGCCATTTTGTCAAACGGTTTACCAAACCGGCTTCAGCTCCACCGATGGAACTGTTCGTGGAGCTGAAGCAAAAAAAAAATAGCTTCACTGGTGAAGTGAAGCCCCGCCAAACAGGGCCTAAATAACGTCGCAAAAAAAAGACTCGGTTTAAATAAACTTTTACCAAATTAGAGCCGATGTATAGTTTATTTATGGCAGGAAACAGATAGGAGTATAGGACACACCTTCGGTTCCACCGCACACGGAAATAGTTTGAGCACTGTATATACGGCTGCTATAAAACATGACTTCTGCCTTACATTGTTAGGTTTTTCGGTATGTGACCTGGCCAAAAAAAAAACTTTTAGCCTTTTGTATTTAGGTTAGAATTTCTATTCACATTATCATTGGATGGATCTATTTGGGTTAGGATTCTAACTATCCAAAACATATATTCAAGCGGTCGACATACGAATAGAAACAATTTTCACATTCACATATATATAATATATATAGATATATTTTTTTATTTGATTAAGATTCCTATTCAAATTACTCCGAATTGGAGAGATCTAATTGAATTAGGATTCGTTAAAGGAAGGCCGGACGAAAAAAAATGAGTAGAGATAAATTTTGCATCTTTAATATTAGGTATAGACTAGACTAGAAAATGTAGGGTGAAGAAAAGAAAATAGCTTTCATAGCTTGTAGTCCATTGTATTTTAAAAACAAAAATAATATCTCCTTGCTACTGTGTATGTATGTATGTATAATTAATACATCAAGAAGCTGAAACTGAAGTCGGCCAAAGCATCACCAAACGAGAATTTTTTGTGTCACGATCGATGTATCTAGCTATCCAAGGCACTGCGATTTTGAGTCTTCCTTGTAAATTTCCATTGTTTCTCGTATTATGTTTGAGATTTTTCAAGCTAGTGAGATATTGTAAATTACCCACTAAAGAAAAATATAACTACTATATCGTTTGTTTTAGTTATTATCATAGCGTACTTTTGTTGTCTTGTCTTATCATCTTGTGCAATAGTACAACATATACGCCACTACTTTAGCTTTAGCAGTATTTTTCAGCGAACGGATATTATTTTTCTCTTACAACAAATCAGCATAAGCTAAATTTCAGTGAAACTAACAGGACCAGTATTAAGCAAACTGCAAATGGAGGCACAGTCGGCTGCTAGCATAGCTAGAAAATGTCAAGATCACCATCACCAAGAAGCCGAGAAAAGCGAGAGGAGCAAAACCTTGCCGTGTAGGCGTACACATGCAGCATGTTTGTTTGGTCGTGGCTTGTCGTAAATGATCGTAAATTTTCAGCCGGAACAATATTTTTCTCTCACATAAACCAGCCAGCAGTACTTCTTCATGAACTAGCAACGAAACGAACCAACCAACCGAAGAGGCTGCATAGCTCCCATGACTTGTCACGTCTAGAAAAGTTTTCTATTGTACAGTACTCCCTCCGTCCGCTGTCGTTTTCGGGCTTGTTCGGCTGGCTTGTTTTTTCTCTCACAAAATCATTGTTCATGTCCTGCCAGAACAGTATTTTCTCTCACAACAATCAGCCGGAACAGTATTTTTCAGTCCTGCCGAACAAGCCCTTCGTTTTCTGAAAAACAACTTGACTAAATACATATATAAAATATTAATATTTATGATACAAAATTAATATCACTGATAGATCGTTGAATATATTTTTATAATAAATTTATTTGGAGATAAGGTACAGAAATCTACTCTTGAAGCCGTTGGTGCTGACTCGAGTTAGGTCTTGTTTAGATTGGGGTTAGGAATCAGCATTTGGCATTGTAACACTTTCGTTTGTATTTGATAATTATTGTCCAATCAGCTCAAAAGATTCGTCTCGTAATTTACAATCAAACTGTATAATTAGTTATTTTTTTATCTATATTTAATACTCTATATATGTGTCCAAAGATTTGATATGATGAAGAGAGAGTGAAAAAATTTAAAATCTAAACAAGGCCTTAATAAAATTTTGTCCGGAAGGAATTGGCGAGCCAAATCAGAAATCACGTCACAACCACACACACAGGTAGAGTAAACATCATGCCAACCGAGTCGTGCCGTCCGCGAACACGCGCACCTTTGGAGTCGGTGAAGGTTAAAATAAGGGCTGTCGTGTCGTCGTGTAACGGGCCACGTACCTCTCGCCGTCGACGTTCTGCCCACGTCACTCCAACTGCACGACGTGGCCCACAGGCCACAACACAAGATATTTCCCCGGTGCTAAGGATGGATCCGGATGTCCACATATTACACTTTACACATGCGATATCCGTATCTGTTTTATAGTAAATATGGATATCCGTATTCGTATTTGATTTAAATATAGATATTAAATGGATGTATCCGTATTCATTTTTTAAGTTTATTCTCTATCCGATTCCACATCCGTATCCGACAAAAATATAAAATATCCAATAATATCTGTATCCGGGAAGTACAAATTATTTTGAAACCATCTAAATCTTACAATTATGACTAATTAACTATGTAAATGACAATAAATTCAATATAACAGATGATATTTATTATTATTTAAAAGTTATATAAGGCTAATATAATTTTAATATTATTAACAATATATAAATCTCGAGTTAAATTAATTTTAACATGGCTAATCATATAATTAGTATTTTATTTTATATTGTATCATTTTAAAATGTATTTTTATTTATCTAAATTCAACAATTAATATATATAATCTTTAATTCTATTATATTTTATATATTTAATTATTAAAATATTGATTAAAATATATTATTTTTAGTTGTTGTCTTTATCCACGGTGTTATATAGCTATATGTTAAATCCCTTCGTCCATAATGATTTTATTATACTATGAAACTATCAATAAGAAAATAGATACATGTGATCTTCAAAATCAAGTGGATATCCGAATCCGAATTCAAGATATCTGTTTTGTATTAGTATTCAACAATATCCGTATTCATATTCATATTTGAATTAAAATGTACTAAATAGTGCTATCCGAATCCGTACCCGTCCGGATCCGATCCGAATCCATCCTTGCCCCGGATGCCAAGCAGAAGCAGCAAAGGGAGAGAGTTGAGAGCCCAGATCCAGATCCCCGGCGGCCCCACGAGGCAAACGACCACGCAGCCTGTTCGGTTTGCTGGTTCGTATCGTTGCTGGTTCGTTTATGTAAGAGAAGTACTGCTCACTGGTTCGCATAAACAGAAGCCTTGTGAGGGGCTGGCCAGCCAGCCCAGCCCCAGCGATCAGGCTGACGAGCACCTGCACCTGCACCCAAATGCTCGCTGCTCAGTGGGATCCAGCCGTCGGCCAGGCCACCAGTACCCGGACGAACCGAATCCGACTCACCCGTCTGCTACGGGGCGTCGTCGTAATTTTCTCGCGCGAACCCCCGGATTTGGCCCTCCTCCCCTATCTCCCTCGTACACGACGAGACGAGGCCTCCCCGTCCCGACCCTCTACGCGCCTGCCTACGCACGCCTCCTTTCCCCCCCAGCCCCAGCCCACCCACGAGAGTAGGAGGAATCAATCCGCCCCATGCCCACATCCGTCGCCACCCACGCATCCCTCCTCCTCAAAGCCGCAGCCGCTAAGCCCTTCATCTCCCCCCGCGCGGCGGCCCGGATCCCCGCCCCCGCCCCTTCTCCCCACCCTCCCCCTCCGCCCGCCGGCCGCTGCCTGCCGACCACGGCGGCCGCTCTCGCTGCCGCAGCCCGCCGTTTCCGGTGTCCGTCGGCGGCGCGGGGGCTGTGCGCCGCGCCGCATTCCGGCGGCGAGGGGATGGGATCTGATGCGGGGGTCGGGGCCAGGAAGAGGCGGGTGCCGGCGGTGAACGGGCTCGCCAAGGACGTGCCGGTGGTGAACGGGATGACCAAGGAGGAGCCCGCCACCGCGCCGCCCAGGCTGCTCACGCTGCCCACCGTGCTCACCATTGGCCGCGTCGCTGCCGTGCCGCTCCTGATCAGCAGTAAGTTAATACTGTTTATTTTCTTTTACCCTTCTCTCTCTGAAAAAATTGCAAAAATGACACTCGAAAGATCGACTTTACGATGAGACTCGGTGGATGGCAAGTGGGTCGTGGGTCCAGTGTCAAATCTGTAAACGACTGATGTTTCAATTCCTATTTTTGTAAATCGCCCCAACCTCTCTCTCTCTTTTTTTTTTTCTGTTGGTCGGATCATGACGTCTTGAGGCGGGTGGATATTTTCGTTTGTATGTAGTAGCAATGGTGGAAGCCTGCCGGTGGTGATAAGGTCTTGGACTGAGTAGGAGAAAAACTATAACAAGTAAAGCCTAAAAAGGCCACTTTCGTTGCAAGTTTGTTGCTGGAACAAATTCATCTAATTATTTATTCACTAAACAGAAACAGTGACAGATGCTGGAGGTGTTATATGAATGTTTTAACCTCCCTAATTCACTGTCTTAATCTTGAACTGCAAGTACATGCGTGTAACTCGCACAAACAATTTATGTCCGCCTTAACTACCTAGGAAAAGAGTTTATGATCCAAGTTGCAAATGACCTTGGGGGTTCTGGACTGTGGCACACAACTAAAGGCTTGGTGTTTCTGAAATTACACAATGGCCCACTCCTTAATAACCCCAACCTGCAGTACCTGGCCAGCACCTTCCACAACCTGCACGTCAAACTGTATGAGGTGTTTGTGGAGGAAGAGATGCTGCCCAGATACTATAGTCTGGCCCTATACTGAGGTCTGTTGTAAGTTCTAACCTTAGGTCTTAGGATCAGAAAAACCATGGCTATGTGCTACAGCACGTAAACGCCATGGATCTTTTATGCAGCTTGAACAGCAAAATTTGTGGTTACAGTAATTTTATCAATAAATTCATTGTGAAATGAGGCTGGTTGAAACATGTGTAGCCATTGCCAGTCTCCATGAGTCCAAGTGCCAAAACAATTACCCTTTCGTTTATCCTAACAGCCCAAAACTTTATTGAAATGACTTTGCACATGCATCTTTTTTTTAGCTCTTGTTGATGCGTGGAGTCAGTGCAGCGATTAAATGGATTGACACGATACTTATCATTCATATAAAGTAAAGAAACATTACTTCACTATAGTTTGCTTTTGTATCCCAACAGCCCAAAGCTTTATTGAAATGACTTTGCACATGCATATTCTTTTAGCTCTTGTTGATGCGCGGATTCGGTGCATCGATTTGGATGGATATGATACTTATCATCCATATAAAGTAAAGAAACAACACGTGTTTGCTTACCGGAGTGTGAATTGTTTGCTTTCCATAAAGGGTCCAAGAACTTCATTTTCATGCAGTTGGACTTGATCACGAACCTCGTTGAGCAACTTAGTCTTTTCTTCTGCTTGTGTAGCAGGATTAAACACCATGCACTATTGCTTCAAACAAAATATACTTCTGTTGGTTTCTGCTGGGCGCTGCTATTTATACACGCTTACAAGTTGTTTGGTTTGGTGCTTATGTTCAACCTAATAATATTTATTTGACTGCATTGTTTAATTGGTTTGTTTCTCTTTTTTTTTACCTTTAACCTTTTGTTATTATTTCTACCACCAACAGCTTTCTACATGGAGGGTCCATGGGCAGCTACAGCCACAACAGGCACCTTCCTTGCTGCTGCAGTCACTGATTGGCTAGATGGTTATATTGCTAGAAAGGTATGTCGAAAATATTATCTGAATAATATGCTAGACTGGGTTGCTGTTCCAGTGTTTTTTTACTCATTTTACGTTTCCTGATGATCTGGTTTATATACAGATGCAGCTAGGAACACCTTTTGGTGCATTTCTTGATCCTGTGGCTGACAAGGTTTCTTTCTCTCTCTGCTGCCCACCACTTTCTGGCATGTTTACAACTAAGACTATCAGTTCTCAAAAGACGAGCTATTCACAGGATCTAACTTAATTGCTCTAATTCTTTGTTGCAGCTTATGGTAGCCGCAACATTAGTTTTATTATGCACCAAACCTTTGGAAACATCACTGCTCAATGATGGGCCATGGCTTCTAACAGTCCCTTCCATTGCTATCATTGGGAGAGAGGTAGTTACTCTGCCAATCTGCATTGCCGCTTCCAAAGCATTTAGTCTTGGCGGGGAATCATAGACCTGGAAATTTCAGAATGCTGTTGTGGTTTATGTTGATATATATGTTTATGAATTACTGTCTGCTTAGCTGACATTATCTCTATGTTCATCCCTCAATATTACAGTTACCATCCTGGTCATTAACTTGGTGCTTGTAGTATTGGGTGCATGCATTTATACATTCAATCATACATGCTTATAACTTCACGGAATGGAAAAGTGTTTTGGAATCTTTACCACCTTTAGTGGAGCCGGTACAGCTTGCCTCTTAAGCAAGATGGAGTCATTTCATCATGCGGTATTGTGGCTTGTTTGAAACATGACTAAAAACTGAGCCTCAGTTGAGTTAACTCTTTTGATACTCCAAGTGTTTTGTGAAGCTATATAAGGGGCCATTTATGAGTGTTCCCAGCTCCAGATTCTCCGTGGGAATCGCTCCTCGACACCTAGACACCCAACGGGTAAAACACAACTAGATTCTGGTGGGAATATGACAAGAATCGCTTCTCCATTTACATTGAGCGCTAAAAAAATGCTCCCCATTCAATCCCACCAAAATCACTTTAGAATTACTTTCCACCTGCTCCCCACCAGAATCACTCCATTAGAGAATCAGGGTGGAGCTCTACCAAACAGGCCCTATGTTGCCATAAAAGTTAAGCTAGGGAAATCATGAGATTGTCCGATAACCTTCCTATGAATGTGCTATCGTGAGTGGCTTTAGAGCATCTCTAGAAATCCCCTATCCATTTTCCCTTAAAATCTTCTATAGTGGGAATCTCTTTTAACATACATGGGATACGAGGGATGGGTTTTGCAGCAAATCCCTTTTAACATCATCCCTTTACCTCACATGTCAATTTATTTTTTCCTTTTTTTTCCCTTACTCACCATTCTCCTTTTCCTCTCCCTCTCTTCTCTCTCACGGTCACCTGATCCCCTACCGAGAAACACTCACACGCTTGGCACCGCGGCAGCATGGCACCCTATAATGTGGCCTGCTCGTCCACACTACTCTCTCTTCTCTCATGGTGTCACATCGCATAGCCTGGTGCGGTCCCGGTGGCATGGTGGTTTAGTGGTGCAGGGGCATGTCCGTGATGAATGTGAACAGCCGTTGAGCACCTGGTGGGTTGAGTGAGGGAAGGAAAGGGGATGCAGAGCAGATCCCCTTTGCTTGAGGGAGGGAGAGGTTTTCTTAGTTGAGAACAAAATTTGGGAAAAGTGATTGTAAAGGGAAATTGCTGGACCCCCCTAGTTCCCTTTATCACCAGTTATGGGAGAGGGGTCGCATTTTCTCAATCTGCTAGAGATGTTCTAGTCCGTAGACGTATCTGTTCATTTTCCTTTTATAAATGAATAAAAGTTGATTCTGCTGCTTTGTGGTATGAGTTATTTGCTGCTGCTATGTGCCTATGTGGTATGGGAGCGAGCTTTCTTGCCATGGGTTAAAAATCTGACATCACTTTTTTCCTGTCTGTTTGTATGTAGATTACAATGTCAGCCGTGAGAGAGTGGGCTGCATCTCAGAATAGCAAAGTTCTTGAGGTTCCTCTATCCTCTATTACTCTTCTGTTCCATTGTATCGATAGAAGTTCAACAACTAAAGAAATTTCAACTTGCCACAACAGGCTGTTGCAGTTAACAACTTAGGGAAGTGGAAGACAGCAACACAGATGACAGCATTGACTCTGCTTCTCGCCAGCAGAGATCCAAGGTACATGAAATTTCATTTGTCCATGTTATTGTAGCTTTGCTATTGTTTCCTTTTTCCAACTGATACATGACATGGTTCGTGTTATGCACTCTGTTTTGCAGTCTACCTGCGCAAGGTGCTCTAGTTGCCCCCGGTGTTGCTCTACTTTACGTTTCCGCTGGACTCGCCATATGGTCCCTAGTGGTGTACATGAGAAAGATATGGCGGATACTTCTAAAATAGTATTAGCATATATATAGTGTAATAGAAGAAACAGAAGCAAGGCGAGGTTCCATTCGTGATCGTACAATTTTTGGAAGGCTGTTTAGTTGATTGGTGGCCTGGGCCCTAGCTGGTTGTGATCCTCATTCCTCAGTAACTTGTGCGTCATCTATTTTTGGTGGATTTGCCGCCAAATTTGCTGAAGCATGCCAGGATCCTTAGAAACAAGATATGATGTGATGTGACCCTGCGTGCGTAATGGGATATAAGTCTGCAATTGCAATGCAGAAGATTGTAACCTTATACAAACACAAAACCCGAAGGTTTGTGCGTGTGGAGTTCTACCATTGTAATCTACACATAATATCATATGCTAGGAGCATACAATTATTCTTTTCAGGGGTGACAGTTCCCGTCTCTAATGTGTATTCCCTTTGTCCGAAAAAAAAAAATGCAATTCTAGCTTTGAACCTGGACGGAGGGAGTAGCTCACTAGCTCTTTTGAATCTGTTTTGTTGACTGGCAATTGATACAGTTATTTGGCTGAAAACTTAACAGCCCGCAATCTAAATCTGGCGGTCAATCACTAGCTCTTTTGAATCTGTTTTGTTTACTGGCAATTGATACAGTTATTTGACTGAAACCTTAACAGCTCGCAGATCTGGCGGTCAAAGACTGATTAAAATGTGACATTTTTTATTCATTAGAATTAGAAAGTGAACTGTTTCTTATGGAAATCTTATAAAAAACTCAGTTTCTTTAATTTATATGGAATTTATGTCATGAAAGGACTAGTCTAACCCACTACCCTGCCTTTAATCGAGTAGCCGTTCAGGAAGAGCGAATGCAGCTCCCGTCGTGGCTCACCGCCGTGCCGCCGGACCCTCGGGCGTACGGCCACCTCATCCAGCTCTGCGCGGACACCGGCCACCTCGCCGCCGGCCGCCAGCTCCACGCCCGCCTCGTCGCTCTCTCAGTTACGCCGTCCAACTTTCTCGCCTCCAAGCTCATCTCCCTCTACTCCCGCGCAGCCCGCCTTGACGACGCACGCAGGGTGTTCGACGCCATCCCGCGGCCCAGCGTCTTCGCCTGGAACGCCATCCTCATTGCACTCTCGCTCCACTCTCCCGATCCCTCCGCCTCTTCGCCGCCTCCGGCATCTCTCCCGACGAGATCACGCTCTCTGGGCTCCTCAAGTCGCTGGCCGAGTCCGGACCGAGGCTGCCTGCACTCGTCGCCGCGGAGTTTCACGCCGTCGCGGTCCAGCGCGGCTTCCGGGACGACTTGTTCGTGTCCAATGGTCTCATCACCGCGTACGCGAACGCCGGAGATTCGCGCTCTGCTCGGGCGGTGTTTGACGAAATGCCACGGCGAGACGTGGTGTCCTGGAACTCGTTGATATCGGCGTACGCTCGTGCAGGGTGGTACCGGGAGTGCCTGGAGCTGTTTCAGGAGTTAGCGCGTGTTCATGCTGGTGGCGGTGTTGGACCAAACAGTGTCACTGTGGCAAGCGTATTGCATGCTTGTGCGCAGCTGAAGGCTGTCGATTATGGGGTAAGAGTGCACCGTCTTGCTGCCGAGAATGGGCTCTATATGGACGTCGCAGTGTGGAACTCAACAGTTGGGTTTTATGCCAAATGTGGAAGGTTGCAGTATGCAAGAGAGTTGTTTGAAGGGATGCCTAAGAAAGATGCAGTCAGTTACAGTGCCATGATTACTGGTTACATGAACCATGGGCATGTCGACAAGGGAATGGAGCTATTCCAGCGAGCAGATGCTCAAGGTATCAGCATTTGGAATGCAGTGATTGTTGGATTGGTTCAAAATGGTCGCCAGTCTGAAGTGCTTGGACTACTGAATGAGATGATTGGTTCTGGAATTCTACCCAATTCAGCCACGCTTTCTATTATCATTCCTTCAGTTGATTTGTCCGCCACCCTACTGGGAGTGAAGCAAGCACATGGCTATGCGATCAGAAACAACCATGATCAGAGTATCAGCGTCGTGATTGCATTGATGGATGCTTACTCAAAGGCTGGATTTCTTGATGGGTCTCGAAAGGTCTTTAAATTGACTGGTGATAGAAGCAAAATTGTATGGACATCAATCATATCCGCTGTTGCGGCTCATGGAGAAGCTGCAGAGGCACTGTGCCTGTTCAATGAGATGATCAATGCTGGCATCAGACCGGATACCATAGTCTTCACTGCTGTGCTTACAGCTTGTGCTTGTACTGGCAAGGTAGCTGATGCTCGTAAAGTTTTTTACTCCATGCAGGTTGTGTTTGGTATCAATCCGGTGATGGAGCAATATGCTTGCATGGTTTCTGGATTCATCCGTGCAGGGATGCTAAAGGATGCACTTGAGCTTGTCAGCAGCATGCCATTTGAACCAAATGCAAAGGTCTGGGGTCCATTGCTTAATGGAGCAGCAGAATTCGGTGATGTTGAGCTTGGTAGATTTGTATTCGATCAACTATTTATGATTGAGCCTAAGAACACCGGTAATTACATTGTGATGGCTAATTTGTACTCAAATGCTGGCAAATGGGAAGAAGCTGAGATCATAAGGAGCATGATGTGGGGAGTTGGGCTCGAGAAGGTTCCTGGGTGTAGTTGGAATTGAGGGGTTTCAATGGTCTGCATGTTTTGTTGCTGCATATACATCAAGCAAGCGAGCCATAAAAACAATGTGGTTGTTGATGGATTGATTGATCTGAATTGTAGAAAATAGCTTGTTCTCAACCAGTGCTAGACGAAGACAAGTTATATTGATGGCGTTCAAAAGATCTAATAGTTGAGATGTGATTATCATGCTTGAGAGCACACCTGACTTGTAGAGCTATTTGGACCACATCATTTCACTCTCAACTGTGTGGCCGGTCTTGATTTGAGTGATTAACTAACGTAGGCCCAATACGCATAAGAGTTCAAACCAATGAGAGCAACATTCCATGACCTTCTTATCTTTACAAGGTGATAGATACCGAAACCTGTGAATGTAAAAACTTTGGAAGCAGTAGCAATCTAATTTGGATTTTCAGGATCTGCAGGCATAAGCTGAATCCCAACCCTGGATGGAGCACCAAATAAGCTACATGCAGAAGGCTATTCACTGCATCAACATAAGTTGCTCTAGTGACAGATGCAATGAATGAAGTTTCTAATTTGCAACGTTATCCTGCTGTTTTCAATCTCTACAGTATGGGAACACCATAGCTTTTATGTAACGATGTAGAATACAATGCATATTTCTACAGTCTATCATGCTTTTCTGAGCATATTGTTCTCTCTATCAAATCAAATGCACAGACTACTTTGCTTGTCCCTTAAACCCCACCCTATTCTGGCATTAGAATCAGAACTGCATGGAGCTAGCACAACAAGATCTGTCTTTTAGTGCCCTTGTGTGTGTGTGTGTGTGGATCAGGGTTCACATGCTTAGATCATTCTACTTCACTACTTCCCAGCTCATGAACTCCAAAAAGGAAAAGCACACATGTAGTTCTCTGATTTGCACCATAACTTGTTCTGGCCTCACTGCTAGATATCCATGACTCTTATTTCGTTGTTCCCAGGTTCACATGCTCATCACAGGCTGCGCAGATGTGGCAATATGATAATGTTTCTGGTGGCGTCTTTGATGAGACGATGTGAAGCATTCAGCCTTACAATCTTGATGTGTGGTGGTCCAGCTCACCCTGGAGCCTTGGAGTTCAAGTGAAGCTAAGTCAGTATAACCACTGCATCTCTTTAATCATAGCATAGCAACTCTGCATCCCCATCTGAGCAGACGTATATGGAAAGAAACATAGCTCCAAAGGTGGAATATTTCATAATTAGGATTTAGGATCACAGAGTGCCTAAAAATTCCGAATGAATTCGAAGAGTGCCTAGGCGCTGTCACAGGCTAGGCTACCACAAACAAAACACACAGCAAGACAGGCCAGGAGAAGCTTTTGTCACTCCATTTCCCTTTTGGCACGACCTCTGCTGTCAGTATATTTGTAGGAAAATGGTTGGGGTCGAAACCTGGCTAATTATCCGTTCCTATGTCTGGATCCGTATAGGTTTCAAAATGTTTTGAATAGGTTGATAGTGTTATGCCTGCTGATACTGATGATACCTTTGTGCACGTGACACGCCTACCCAGCAGGTCACGGTGCTAACCAGCGGCAGAGGTGGACAAGGAGGCGGTGTCGTCTGTGCATTGGCTTTGGCTGGCCTGCACGGACGCCGAGCGCCAGCATGGGCTATGTGTGCTTGCATTCACTTGCCGGAGAAGCGCCGCGGCCATCATCGTTCGTCGCTCTCCCAGATCAGCAATGATGGTCGTCGGTACCGCGCGCTGTAATCATGTGGGGGAAAAAAAAGACGTGGACCCCCAGTAGAAGGATACTTCTGCACTGCAGTACCTAGAAGTTACCGTTCCCAGTGGAACAGGTACAGTCCCCATCTCGTCATCTTTGTCATTCTACTTTGGTCCCTTTACACTTTCTTCTACCTGTTGCTTTTCAACGCATGGTTTTTTGACTGGTCGAAGCTCTAGTCTAACCATGGCTTCAACCTTCAAGAGACCCAAGATGGCAGCAGCCCGAGGAGCGCGAGGACCCAATACTTTGGACCCTACGAGGCCTGGCATGGTCCCAGGGGGAAATGTTGCAGCTTACTGTCGGTTCTCCTCGTGCCAATTATTCGCGCATTATTCTTGATTTCTTGGTTGTTAAGCTCGTGGGTGAAGGAATTATTCTTGGCTGTTAAGCTCGTGGGTGAAGGAATTTTCGTACGGTACAAGAACGGCAGCAGCAGCAGCTCATGCGGCACGAAGAGAATCTCAACTCTCAAGTAGGTTCACAAAAGGCTCACGCTTCACAGGGTTGGGCGGTGCCGAACGCCAATAATCCCTCCAGGCTCCAGCACCTCTCCAGCCAACTCCTCTCTGCATTTGACATGGCAGGTCAGTTCCGGTTAGTCTATATGCTCTGTTTCACCAAACTTTCCGTGCTTATACTGTTCGTTAGCACATTATTCTTTAGAGAAGAGAACATTTGATAGTATATTTGAGAATCCACATGAGAGCACGGACAGCTCAACTGTCATTGTTATCGCTGCGCCATCTTGTCGGTTCTCTCCCCGATTCAGGTCACTTCAGTTCGGTTCAAATCGCGGGGAGCAGCACAGGAAGCTCGTGAGGCAGCGCGACAAGGACGCTCGACGCGATTTTTGTCCTGGTATCATGGTACATGCTACGTGCACTCGTCTAGTGTACTGTATTTTTCTGTAAAAGAAAACAAATGAGAAGTCGATGGCTGCCAGGGATTCTTTTCAGGCGCTGCTGAAAACCACGAGGAAAAGAAAATTCAGCAAGAGGACAGCAGGGCTGGGCGGCCGGCTGGGGTCGAAGTCGAACAGCAGCAAGCGGGTTGAATGAATGAATGAGCCAGACAGCCAGCAGGAGGATCGGGCTGTCACGTGGCTTCCCTTTCTGCCGTCCGCTGTCCTCCCTTGCTCACATACACGATGACAGGAACCAGGATTGCAGTTTGCAAGGCCCAAGGCGGTTGCCCCACATGTCCCCTGGGACCATCTCCTTTGTTAATAGCTGTATTAGCATTATTATTACAGGTAAATACAGCGTTGCTTTTTAGTATCGTTAGCATTCTTATCTGTACCATCTACAGTGATCTACAGGATCAGTTTTTTTTTTAGGTTAGGGCTTGTGCCTTGCACTTGGCAGCTGCCAAGGAGTATATTTTTGAGCTCAACACACAGTCACAGATCCTCATGTGATGTGACTGCTACAACGTTGCATTTAGGACCTTGTTTGCATTCTGTCTTCTGTGACGGGGAAAAAAACCTCACGTATTCTCATATCCATAATTTTTCAGTGATGCAAAAAGAAACATGAACAGAAAATGCGGTGCCTGCAGAATGTACTGCAGTGTAGTGAAAAGAGAGGGGATGTTTCCAGTGACGCCAGTAATGCACCTCACGGGTGGCGTTCACGGTCTCGCGGACAAAACCGGCGGCCCCTGTGGTCATCAAATCCCATGCTTCTTTTCGAGGCCTTGGCGCTGGTACCACTCCTCTGATCCAGACCCACTCCCACAGGGAGAGCGTGCTGTGTGCCTGTGGCTCACGCCCCGAACTGAGGCGTCCGACACCTTCCGCCTCAAACCGCCTCCAGTTCAGCAGCCGCTGCGCCGTCCCCTGCCCGCGAGCTCAAAAGTAAGAGCCGCACGCAAGAAGCGCCCAGGGCCGCCGCCAAACGCTGCAGATTAGTTCCCAGAGCCCGAGCACCATCCGGTATCATATCACACGCCAAGCTTGGGTAAAAGAAGGATCGGAGAATGGCTACGCAGGCGGTGCAATGCAGGTTGCCGAATTTCCCCGAGTTGGTTCATTCTTTCTTGCATTCGTGGATGGTTTCTTGGCTCCCAGCATCGTTTCTTTTCTTTTCTTTCTTTTGGAAACTCTAGCATCATTCCTTTTTCTTTTCTTTTCTTTCTTGCATTGAGCTGCATGTTGGTTGCTTCATGGGATCCTAGGATCAATCTCTGACCTGTCTGTGCATTTGTGTTTCGTTGCATTGATTGCAGGGTGAGCGGTGGGGGTGGGGATGGTGGTGGCGGTGGCGGTGGAGGTGGCATGAGGACGGTGGAGTGCCTGAGGGGGAGGCTTCTCGCAGAGAGGGTGGCATCCAAGGCTGCAAAGGAGGAGGCCGACCAACTGTCCAAAAGGGTACATTACATCTTATCCCATCTTCTGCAGCACATTCCGTACTGCTCCATCCTCTTTTAATTCCTATTGGCTCACATACTAATTGAACTCTCTTTCTCTTTTCTGTCGATTTCATGGTCGGTTTGGGTCACAGCTGGACGAGCTAGAGAAGAAGCTCGCCGACGAGGTCAAGGTGAGGAACAAGGCGGAGAGGAGGCTCAGGAGGGCCATCAAGAAGCTGGAATCCCTCAAGATTCTGGACGTCGGGCTCTCGGACGGCTCCATTGGGTCGCTCTCCTCCAATGGCCGCTCCGGCTACCAGGCGCCGGAGGTGGAGGTGGAGACGGTGGAGGAGAGGAACAGCCCTGGCTCGTTGACCACTGATGGTTCTGTGCCATCCGGTCCTTGCGGAGACGCCGACGCCGACAGGGACATCGCCAGGGAATCATCGGAGGGATCATGCACTCAGGTGAATTCGTCCTCCCAGGACGGGAGCTGGTGCTCCGTTGTGTCAGAGCAATCCCGGGCTGGTTCTTGCATGTATCTTGCCGGAAACACCACCCACTGCAGTTCAGAGGGGAGTGGCGGCGACCATGATTCAGAGAGGTACGCGTGCAGATCGACTCAATGCCAACCGGTAGTTAATTTTCTTGTTGATAAAAAAACACTTGCTTAATTTAGGGATTTGTTTTTGTTTTCATCATAGTTACTGGATTTTAGCTTTCTTATTACTATCTTTGTCCAGAAGAATTGCCTTCTTCCAGACTTCCAGCGAGAATTATGTCAGCATTCCTCCTCTTAAATGTTTGCCTTTTTGGAGCTCCTGGATGCTAGCTCCAATAGGCATCTTTCACCATGCTAGGTACAGAGGAAACAATTAGTGCTTCCCTTTGCCTTAGAACAGAATGATTGCCTTTTAGTATAGCATGCCTGCATGGGAGGTGGACGGACATTGCACATACCAGGGCACCCGCAGTAGTTAGAACGGGTTACTCTGCTCTAAGCTGACTTCTTCAATAATACTGACTTTTAGCACATAGTTTTTAACATGGATTAAGTCCACTTTTTAACATGCATTAAGTTCACTTTTGGTCCCTCAACTATTGTGTTCGTCTAATTTTGACCCTCAACTAACGCTAGTACTCTAACTGTCAAAACCGTTCACTTTTAGCACCTGGACGCGGGTGAGGCTGTTTTGTCCCACAGGAGCGGTTTTGACCACGCCACGCTGGCGTTGACCTCAATCTCAGTGACATGTGGGGCCCACGCGTCATCGACTCAACCCCTCTCTCTCCATCCTCACGGCCACTCTCCGACGCCTCCTCTCTCCGCGCGCGGCGGGGCGAACGCTACTCCCTCCGACACTGGCCTCGGCGTTGACAGTGCCACGCTGGCCCCTCTCTTTCCTCCCGTCACCGGCGGCGAGCAGGCTACGGCGGCAGCGCGCAAGCAACATGGCGGTACGCGAGCAGGGCGGTGGCGCTCGAGCAAGTGGCGGCGGCAGCGCGCGAGCAGGCTACAGCGGCTGCCGCCTCCCTGCGCCGCAGCTGAGCTCGCCGGTTCCGCCTCGAAAATTCGTCACCTACACTCGATCTCTCTTCAATTCCTCTTACACATAGCCTCCCGAGGTTCCTACCTACCTTCAGCCTGTTCGCTTGGTCGTAAACGATCGTAAATTTTCAACCAGAACAGTATTTTCCTCTCACACCAAACCAGCCAGCAGTAATAATCCACGATCGTATACGATCGTTTCAGCCCCAGCCGAACAGGCTGCTTATGGACGCGGTCGCACTAGCTTTCGTGCATCAGAGAGCTCGCCCTGGCTATCTGACGCGGCGGAACCGCGACAGCGGTGTCGCGTGCACGCGCAGATGATGGCTCGTTATGGGCGAGACGGGGCGCAGCGGTGTGCCCAACCAGGCACACAGTGCGGCAGGGCTCTCAGCCATGGCGCGGACGCGACAGACACACCGCTCGGCGTGGCAGAGCCAGCGTGCAGTAGAGGCACGCGCGGCAGCGGGTCAGCCGTCGAGCGTTGCGACGACAAGGGCACGGTCGGGTGTGGCAGTGAGGCAACAGCACGATGCGACAGCCAAGCAGCAGGGGTAGCGCGGGCACAACAGGTCAGCAGGACCGGCCAGGGCAGCAACTGGAGAAGCGGCGACGGTAGGGCAAGGCTAGAGCGGCTCAGCCACGGCACGGGCGCGACAGTGGGTCGGCCAGGCGAACTGCTATGACAGCGCAGCGAGGCAGCACGGTGTAGGGCGAGCAGGCGCTCGGCCCTCGACGACCGGACGCGGTGACCGCGGACACCGGCCGAAACAGAGTGCTGCACGATTTTTGGCGTGCGTGTTTCTTAGATTTCACTGTGGCACTCTAGCCCGTTCAAGTTACTAGCCCCAAGCTTGCACTTAGAACTACAACCTTTATTCAGGCACTTCCCAGTTTTGAGCAACTGGGAAGAACAGAGGCCCTAACATCGGTTTGTCAGGCTGTGCAGCGTGGAGAGAGAGGCGTGGTCAAAACCACGCAACGTCGGTCAAAACAGCCTTGCCTCCGCCCAGGTGCTAAAAGTGAACGATTTTGACAATTAGGATATCAATACTAGACACTTTTGTAGTTGAGGGTTAAAATTAGACCAACACAATAGTTGAGGGGCCAAAAGTGGACTTAATACTTTTAACATAGATGACCCCACATGACATTCGCACGTAACCTTAAAATATATGTAAACGCTTAGCTCTTGATTAAAAACTAGTTTTTCTCTTTTTTTCCTATTAAATTATGACAAAAATACTTAAAGCTAGCTTAAAAGCCCGTTGCTGGAGCTGGCCTGATAACTTCCTTTATCACACCGGACACCGGTGGATGCTACATAGCTTCCCAAACGAATGAAAGATTGTGCATTTGCAAAGCGCATGACCACAAGTGACAACAAACGATAATAAGCAAATCTACTCCAGTTTTCGCCTGCTATATTTGCGGTTTAGTATTTTTTTTTTTCTCACACGTACTAGTACTGCATATATGACTCGTGTGATGTGTTCTTGTGTCAGGCAACACCTTGATGCATCCAGTGGCTGTGGCTCAGCAAAATCCGAAGAGGCGTTCTACGAAAGCGACGACAGGCTAGCGCTTGTGCTAGTAGACCCCCAGCTCGTTGCAGCAGCAGCAGCAGCAGCAGACGACGACGGTCCAAGAACGCAGGACAACGAGACGCAGGCAGGAGAGGTCCGTGCCAGGAGTCACGACGAAGAACAGCAGGAAGAAGAGGAGACCAACAAGCTTGCGATCGTTCTAGCCGACCCCCAGCCTCAACCGGCAGCGGTCGCCGCTCAAACGGGGCCGCCGAAGCCACACGGCGACGTGGAGTCCGTTCTCCTGGCGCTGCGGCGGGTGAAGGAGCAGCTGCGCTACACCATCGAGCGGCGGTCGCAGCTCGTCGCCTACCAGGAACTCTATGGCCACTGAGGCCACCGAGCGTGCATCTGTTCATTTTCAACTGCAGTGATTTTATACATAGTTGTTTAGTGGAGTACCTGTAGAGAATGGAATAAGATCGCTCACGTGGAGACACTTTTTTACAAAGAATGAATTTCTAGGTGTACTTTATTTGTTTCTGTTTGCTGATGAGTTTATCGAACAGAATGTGATACGGTTGTCAGAGGAAATGCCAACGGCATTTTGCTGGATCCATACTATACGACCATACCGTCCCGGTAGCTTTTCACAAATGGACCATTTATCCACCGGACGAGCATCGCACCTGCACCACATGCGTTATCTGTTACTCCCAGACGCCATGCTCCGTGATTATGGATTTCCATATCCCGTTTTTCTAGCATTGTAGCAACAGAAACACGGGGCACACACAACAAAAGAGGGCCACCTTGTTGTCTTCTAACAGTTAGCGGTTTGATTGATCTCCACCAGTTGGCCAACGGCTAATTGGACCCTTGATTCGCGCCCTGATCGGAAGCGCCCAGCCGTTCTCCTGGCCGATAGACCCCGTCGCGCAGCGCTATAAAGAGGAAGATGAGGACCAGGGCGCAAGGTACGAGATTCATTGCTGCCGCCAGTTCCCCACCGAGTCTAACCCTAGTCCGATCAAGAGAGTGCTGAGCGACGAGAAGCTCCATCGATGTCGCTACTGGACCGCACCCCACTACAATGCTACTTCTACTCCGACATCACTAGCCATGTCGTGGCAGCACCATGGCCACCACTACATACGGCGAGGTACATCACCAAGTCCTTATCTAAGTTATGTTTTACCCACTAGATCTACGCCTAGATGGTCCTAGAAATCTATCATTGGTATCAAAGCCATGTTCTAGTGAGTAGATCCAGTTTGAGGTAGAAAACAAGAAAGAAATCAAGAAAGAAGTGATTCAAATCGGGTCAGAAACCCCAACCCTAACCCTAACATTAACTAGTCCAACTGGGGTACATGGAAACGAAATCATCCACCAAATGGTATCGGCAACCGAAGGTACATGACCATCCACAAACCAGGCAGCAAATCTAGCTACACTGCCAGTGCCCAGCAACTAAGAAAGTCATACACGGTAAACATCACTTCAGCATGACTCGGAAACACGTGACCCCGTTCATGCAGTTAGTGGTGTACAAGCTATGGCTTCACCAAAAGTCTCCTAGGATAATATCTGAGACCTGCAGGAGACGAGGTTGATTTTTTTTCATGTTAGGGAAACTACAGCAGCAAGTCTTGGCAAGGAAAACGTTGTTCTGGGAGGGTAACAGCGTTGTCTAACCTCATCAAAGGCGGAGTGCTGAAATCAAGCTGTGCCTGTAACAGCGGCTGCGTCCTGTGTCAATCAAATACAAACAGACGAAGACAAGAGCCAAATAAAAACCAATTGGAGGTGAAAGTTCTGAACAAAATCATGTGGGCCAGGTGCCAAAAGTTCTTCACATAACCATGTAAAACATACCGCCTTGGAGCTGTCTTTGCCATTTTCCCGAGCTGATCCACTAGATGTATCTCCAAATCTGATGAAGTTGTGAAGAGATGAGCTGGTTTCTAGGTTCCACAGAGAATAATCAGGAATGATATGACACTGTCGCATTCACTAACCTTGCTGCTCTGGCCTTTCTTTTTTCTTCTTCCGCCTTGTCAACATTTGTGCCCTGACCAAATCGTTCCAGACGGGCCTTTTTCTTAGCTTCCTCATCTGAAGAAGAGGATGAGGCAAGGCCAAACCTGGCAATTCCATCCATTTAACCAAGCATCAGTTCACTACTTGGGAGCATATAAAAAACCTAGAACGAAATTAGAGGATTTTCTAAGATTAACACACCTCTCAGCCCTGGACTTCTTCTTCTCTTCCTCCTTTACACTTGAAGATCCAGTCCCAAATCTTGTAGACAAGACAAGTGAAATGCAATTTACTTAGTAATTGTAATATATATCATATGGAAAGTTGATCAACCAAACAGGAATGATCAAAGTTTGGAGTATGCTCAAACAAACACAAAAGAGCAGAGGCTCTACTAAGCTTGGCCCTTGAGTGGATTGAAAAGTGAAGTTGTGCTTGGTTTTAAGCAGCAACTCAACCTTATCTAGAACTTACATGAAACACTAAACAAATGAATAGACTATATATCTGTATGAGACTATTTCAGTGTAAGCACCCCAAAAGCATACAGCGCATATTTAACATTGTATAATGAAGTTAAACACGCCATATGCAATTAAGAGTTCAATAACACCACATCATCATTTTATTACCTATATAATCTTACCACTTAAGTAACAAAACTAAGGGCCCTTTTGGCACAGTTCCGTTGGCTCTGGCTTGCCATTCTCAGGTGAAGACAGTTTTCCCTCTTGCTAAAATGAACTAGTAGCCAATGGAACTGTAGCAGGAGCTTGAGCCAATGGAAACCATGCCAGACGGGCACTAATCTAGCACACTCGGATCTGACTATACTGAGTTAGAACATCAAACCCAAAGTTAAAAACTAGAAGTAGGCCATAGGCTTGATGGCTCAAATCTACACACTTATGGCTTAATTAGATAGGCAATATACCAAGTAAGCTCCATACCTAGAAACGAAATAGACTGATATATTCTGAATTTTATTTACTAGATCTTGCATCTAAATGTCCACGATCTTGTATGGTCATCTAAAGACTGGGCACCGATGAATTAAACTAAGTACCTAAATCTTTTGAACTCCTAACTGCCTATCCTACACAACAAACACAGAAACGATGGATGCAAATCTAGGGTGAAAATTCAATACACAGGCAGTATCAACAATCAAGTAACTTAGTTATAAACTGCATGAAACACTTAAAACAATAAAACATCATTCATGCAGGGAACTAGCTGCTTAGGTCCTGAAATGCACTGAAATCTCTATGAACAACAGAATTGGACACCTCATTGAATAACGCAGAGCACAGAATTGCTGCAACATCACCCCCACGTGCCTTGCAACATCATGAATAACTGCAACCTCAGAAGAACACAGGTAGAGAACTGAAATGTATGGAGCTAGACCTTGTCCAAGTACTTTATAGTACCCTAAAAGCCTAAAGTGTTGGAGCTAGACCTTATCTTAAGTACTTTAGTACCCTAAAAGCCTACAGTGTTGCAATTCAATACACACCCAATGACCAAAACATGCATGCTGCAATACCGCACATCTATTTTGTTAGGAGATTAGTGACATATTGTGCTTGAATAAGCACTTTCCAACATGAACTTCGGGATTTGTTAGGACAAATCCTCTAAACCCTAGTAAAGGGGATCCACATAACACTTACCTCTCGGCGCGACTACTGCGCTTTTCCTCCTCTGACATGACCACTGGCGTCCCAAACCGCTCCGCGCGGCGCATCTTCTTCTCCAGATCTGTGGCCCCGGCGACCGCGGTTGCAGCAGCGGTAGGGTTTTGTGCCGGTGTTGAGGAAGCAGCGCTCGGAGCCGCCTCTCCGGTGGCTGTGGCCTCCGGGGCAGGCGCGGCGGTGTCCGCAGTCTTGGAGCTCTGAGTTGCCATCACCGACGGAGCGGGTGAGAGCTCGGCGGGGAGCTCGCGGTGACGAGAGGAATTTCTTTTTGCCTTTTTGTGTGTGCGCGTCGCTACTGCTCTTTCTTTTTCCCTTTTCCTTTGTGGACTTGTCTTCGGTCGATCGCGGCTCGCCTCTTCACGGGAACTGGGCTTTTGGGATGGGATAGTACACATAGATATATGGGCCAAGGCCGTGGTTTGTGGCCTCTATGATGTTGTTAAATAAAAAAGTTCATTTAACATCCACAATGATCCACTTCTCTGGTCTCCCGTGCAGGCCCACGAGGGGATTGAAGGAGTTTGATAGGAATTATATCTCCTGCAAGTAAAAAATTCTCAATCCCTCGAGTAGAATCGAACAAGGACTGAACGTGCACAAGGTGCACGTGTCCGTCAGCAGAAATACGCACCCAAAGGTAACAATGTACTTATAGGCTATAGCCATAGATAATACCCCATTGGAGTAAGCATCAACTAGACAAGTATAACCATTTTTAGTTTGTCCACGTTGGGACATAAGGTTGAAGCATCTACCGATCGGAATCATCCAAATCCAACCCAATTAGACAATTATAGGCTATAGCCATAGATAATACCCCATTGGAGTAAGCATCAACTAGACAAGTATAACCATTTTTAGTTTGTCCACGTTCGGACATAAGGTTGAAGCATCTACCGATCGGAATCATCCAAATCCAACCCAATTAGACAATTATACTACTAAAGAATAAGCAACTACAGCTAGATAAGGACGAGAGTACATCTAGTAATATAGTCATCTACACATGTTGACATCTCATTTATTAGTAGAGGCATCATCAGTGATCACTTATATAATACGGTGACTATTACCATGGTCATCCTTTTCTATTTCATTTGTATTCTTCTGCTCGACACATGTGGCGTTCTTGCATGGATAGAGGAAAAAAAATGTGCAAAATGTATCCACGGCTGCGTATACATAACCTAGATGCTTGCCACCTGTACAGCCAGATGATCCAACAGCGCGCCGGCACCTGTGGCCCACGGAGGCGGCAGCACGTAGGAGGCCCTCGCCCAAAATTCGCACCGCTCGGATGGAGCACACGACTGTAGGCTGTTGGATCATCTGGTTGTACACGTGGCAAGCATCTAGGGGTATGTATACACATAAGTATCGTGGATATAGTTACTACAGAATTTTTTTCCTGAATAGACATGTAAGCGAGCGATAAACGTTTATTATACTTGCTCTAATTGATACGAATACAGCTCATTCAATTCGTTGGGGAAAAAATTGTTTTGGAAAAAACAAAGGAGTATACACATGTGCCCTCTGCTGCTGCTCCTATATATGAAACGCCAAACGCGTAGCTAATGGCACATGCATCACAGCAGTCCACTAGTCTAGCCCCGCCAGTGCACCAACCCAGCATACCTGCTAGCTTACTGTTGGAGTGTGCTGAGTCATAGAGTCCACTTAATGTCGATGCACGCACAGGTGATGGCGGTGGACTGGGCGTGGTGGGTCGGCCTCCTCCTCGGCGCCGTTCCGCTGCTTGTGCTCGCTGTGTGGCACAGCAACGACGTCTGCCATTGCGCGTTCTTCGCGCTGAAGCGTTGGCGCCGTCGTGCGAGGCTCCCGCCGGGCCACATGGGCCTCCCATTTGTGGGCGAGAGCCTCTGGCTGCTCTGGTACTACAAGCTCGCGCGCCGCCCGGCAACCGCCCACGCCAGAGGAGGCGCTACTACGCCGGCCGCATGGGCGGCGTGGGCGGTACGGGACGCACCTCTTTGGCTCGCCGACCGTCCTCGTCTGCTCGCCAGGGGCCAACAAGTTCGTCCTCAAGTCCTCCCAGGACGGCACCTTCGGCATCCGCTGGCCCGCGCCGAAGCTCGTGGGCCTCTCCTGCGTGGTCAACGTCGAGGGCAGCCAGCACGCCAGGCTCCGCGGGTTCATCCTCGCCGCCATCAACCGCCCCGCCTCGCTCCGGGCCATCGCGGAGGTCATCCAGCCGCGTCTCGTGGGGGCGCTGCGGTCGTGGGCGGACAAGGGCACCATCTCCGCCGCCACTGAGATCAAGAAAGTACGCATGCATGCTCCTTAATTAGCTATATATTCCGGCGCATAGTAATGCATGCTAATGCGTTTATTTGAAGCCATAAATCGAATAACTAACGCATGTGCTTGCAGGTGACGTTCGAGAACATATGCAAGATGTTCGTGAGCAGGGATCCGTCACCTCTCACCGACAAGATGGACGGGTGGTTCGCCGGCCTGGTTGCTGGATTCAGGGCGTTCCCGTTAGACTTCCCCGGAACGGCCTACCGTCACGCTCGCGCTGTACGTGCATGAGAAGATGCTTTCATGCCGCTCTTATAATTTTGCCATGCTTATATTAATAAATTACCTCTAATCTGAATTTATTTTTTTGCACGATGACTCATCATATACATGCAGTGCCGCAAAAAGCTAGACACGATGTTCAGGGAGGAGGTCCAGAGGAGGAGGAGAGAGGACACTGCCAGCAACGACTTGATGAGCGGGCTGATGGAGATGGAAGACGAGCAAGGGAAGAAGCTCTGCGACGACGAGGTGGTTGACAACATCGTCTCCCTCGTCGTGGCGGGCTACGAGTCTACTTCCAACGCCATTATGTGGGCGGCCTATCACCTAGCTAAATCTCCCCATGCTCTTCGCAAGCTGAGGGTAAGCTAGCTACTTGTACACAATTCTCTCTTGAATAAGCTAGTTTTTTGCGGCACTGCTTATGCGTCGTCGTGCAAAAGAGTCAGATCGATCAGAGGTAATTAAGCACCGTAAATCCACGAAGAGACCGATTGCTGAATAAGGTAGTCTAGATTATTATATATTCAAGAATTGTAATCCAAGCGGAATTAATGGTACTTAATTAATTGAATATACATGTAAGTGCCGCGCAGTTATATATATGATGTTTATCTGAACTTGGCAACTTGCACATGTCAGGAGGAGAACGGCGCTGTAAGTAGAGACAAGAATGGTGGCTTCATTTCCCTGGATGACATCCCTAGCATGAAGTATACTGCCAAGGTACATATATACGACGATGCATATCGATCACAAGTCACACAATACAACTATATACAACAAGTCCCGCTTTTGAACTAGCTCAAGGATATGGATATGCATGCAATTTATTCTGAGAATCTGAGCCCTTCGTCTTTCGCAGGTGGTAGAAGAAACAATTCGAGTAGCCAACGTAGCTCCAATGGTCCATCGCGTGGCACATAGAGATGTCGAGTACAGAGGCAATTATATTAAGCAGTCACTTTTGTATAATTCAGTCCTACTTCTCACTATATGCTTTAGAATGAAGAATTAATGGACAAGCCAATGATTAAATTCCTTAAGTACATGTGTACTAGGTTATACGATTCCTAAAGGGTGGAGGGTTGTGGTGTGGCTGCGCTCCTTGCATACCGACGCCAACTACTATGATGATCCACTCAGCTTCAACCCAGACAGATGGGACGTAAGTCTCTACTAAGTTCATTCAGCAGTAATCTGTTGCTTTTTCGTTAATTTAATTCCCTTATTATTAGAGATCAGGGGTTCAGAGTGTATAACTGTATATACAAAGCTAAGCTAGTTCACCTCATATATAGTACTGTCGATTGGGACTTGCACTTACGATTCAACATCGGACATTATTACTGATCGTTTTATCAGAAACCGCCAAAGCCAGGCACGTACCAGGTGTTCGGTGGAGGGCCCAGGATCTGCGCTGGGAACATGTTGGCAAGGCTGCAGCTCACTATCATGCTCCATCATCTAGCTGTTGGATACAAGTACGTAATTAATTATCTAAATACCATAGTGCAAATTAATCATTTTCTCATATATGTCCTAGCTAGATAGCACGTCCTACAGTATAACAGTACTAGTGTAAATAGAGCTTGCTTGTTAAGCCAAGTTATACTGAAAATTTCAAATTTGAATAATCTTCGATTAATCCTGTACGTTTGTTGGCTTCAACTCTTTCAGATGGGAGCTGCTTAATCCTAATGCTGAGGTCACATACCTTCCCCACTCGAAACCGGTAGATGGGGCCGCCATGTCATTTAGCAAATTGAGCTCTGTTTAACATGCGGGCAAGACGACGTGCTCGATCGTGTCTAGATCAAAGAACAATTGTCGACAGCACGTTGCAATTTACAAAAGCATACTCCGTATGCTACATAGTCCAACAGGCAACAGCGCAAGGATTGGTCAGAATTCAGAAATCAGAGAGAGTGCATGCCCCGGGCCCCCGGCTACATGCACTGTCCGTACGCGGATCAACTCTCTCTCTCTCTCTCTATAGAACTACTGGCAGTAGCTGGATACAAAATAATGTATTCTGTAGCCACTTTGAGTTACGATAATTACTATGTTAATTTACGAGATTATAGTAACTCCATACTAAGTGGTTTACTATAACGTTATGGTAAATATCTCCATATGTTATAGTAACCCAACTATCGTAAATATATATTGACATTATCGTAAATTAGTATATAAAATTATCGTAAATGGAGGTGGCTACGGAATAACTTATTTTTTAGCTGGCTACTGAATGTACTCTCCCTCTCTCTCTATATATATATAGGGTAAGCCTATTCTACAGCTGGCCATAGAATAACTTATTCTATAGCCACCTTGCTTGATTTACGATAATGTTTGTACCAATTTACGATAACATGAATATGCATTTACGATACTCGTGTTACTACAACTCACGGTGATATTTACCATAATGTTATAGTAAATCACTTAGTAATGAGTTACTGTAGTCTCGTAAATTAGCATAGTAACTATCGTAACTCAAAGTGGTCACCGAATAAGTTATTCTATGGCCAGCTGTAGAACAGTAGTTCTCTCTCTGTGTGTACATTACATTATTACTCAAAACAATATATATATATATATTGTTTTGAGTAATAATGTAATGTACTCCGGAGATCAACTTAGAGGCGCCTCTATAGATCTTTGTCGTAATAGTGTCCCTCACAATTTTTTCTCAATCGGGCATATAGCCCGTTTTTTATTAAGAGAAAGTAGAAGTAGTGAAACAGCTATAACAAAAGGCATCCCGATAATCCTAAGGACACCAAGACCCCCCAAGCACCCGATAAAAGGAAACAAGAAAACACGCAAGAAAGGTGGAAGGGAGAGGACCCTCCACCACAGCCCTAACCGGCTGGACCTGCAGAAAAAAATCAATTCAACACAAAGACGGCCCACTCAGAAGACGAAGCCACGGTGGCAAAGCATCCACCGATAAAAGAAGAAACGACAGCAAAACATCCGCTAAGAGAGCAACAACGACCAAGTAGTCGCTGTGAAGAAGTGAGCGACTGCATCGACAACATCAACAGCGACCAGGTAACCGCTGTGAACCGATTGACTGTAGCGACAGCATCAACAGCGACCAGGTAGCCCCTGTGAACCGTGCGACTGCGGTGACAACATCCACAATGACCAGGTAGCCGCTGTGAATAGCCGAGCGACTGCAGTGGCAACATCAACTGAGGCAGGGTAGGCCGATGCGAAGAATGGCATGAAGCACAATAAGGTACAACACAGTAAGGAGCAACTCTAGGTAAAGAAGCGGAAGGAGCCGAGACACGGCCGCTCCAACGAAGCCTTCATAAAGGAACTGACATCCATAGACACCATCTTCGTTGACAAAAGCACACAGGACTTTCATCCAGAACCCACCCCGGCGACACGCACGGTGAAGACAAGCTTCGACGACGCCTTCAGAAAGGAACATGACGCAGACTGCGCCACCGCCGCTGGCCCGAGCAAGAAGACGGGCAAGGTAGACACCTAAGCAATTCAACACCATGGGTCTAGGAGGGCTGCAGCCGTGCCAAGGGCGTTTGAAGGAGTCCGGCAGCAAAAGTAGCCAGGCCGGCAACCACCACACCACGCCCCGCGTAGAATGACTACCATAGCAGCGGACATCGAAGCCGGAGCGACCAAGCCGCGGCGCCAGCCCGCATGCCAAGGCCCTGCCCGCCGCGGAGCGGGCTGCCAGCCTACATGTGGCCAGATCCAGCCCAGGGGCATGCCCAGCCAGATCCAGCCATGCCCTGGCCGGCCGACCAGCCCTGGCTGCTTAGAACGCTGTGGGAGCATACGACGCGACAGAGACGGAACTACTCGGCCACACCACGCGTGGCCCCACGAAGGCCAAGCAGCTGCGGCTCTCAACAGCGAGGAGGAGGCCAGATCCGGTCCTGAGGAGCCCAGGTCCGGCCTGTCAGCCAGCGAGCCCACGCCCCATGAAGGCCAACCCGCCACTGCGCCCGAAGCGCCTGCATCGCTCCAGCATGAGCAGCCCTACCACAACCGGACGTGATGTTACAAATCGGTGAGGATGAGGCCGGATCTGGCCCCGAGGAGCCCAGATCTGACCTGCCGGTCGACGAGCCCACCGGAGAAGCTCTGGGAAGAGTCATGGTGGAGGAGGGGTGTTGGTGTTTCGAACAAACACCAACTAGTAAATTTATATTTGTTGCGCGTTAGACTCAGATGGTGTACTAAAGGACACAAGGTTTATACTGGTTCGGGCAGAATGTCCCTACGTCTAGTTTACTGCTGCTCGTGTTATTAGTACCAAAAAAGGTTCGTAGTAGAGGCTACAAATGGTCGAGAGAGGGACAGGTCCCAAGTCTCTGATGGAAAGGTCGAAAGGGCGCCAAGAGCTCGGTTGCTGCTTGGCTGTGTGTTGTGCGTGGAATCGATCCGTCCCCTTATTGGGGTGCCCTGCCCTCCCTTTTATAGACCAAAGGGGAGACGGGTTTACAGATAGGAGAAAGAGAAAAAAACCAGAGGGTAGAGAAGGTCCTTTGAAGGAGCTAGGTCTTACTTTCCCCCTGAGCCTGCCCTGCTGACATGGCAGACCATCTCAGGGATAGCATGTTTGCTGATCCTTATAGGGCCGTGCCTTGGCCTTATTCCGCAAGTGGGTACGTCCCATCCTACACTGGCGGACAGTGCGGCGTGCCAGGGAGTTGAGCTGTGACCCTATGGGGAGTAGACGGGGAAGTGACCATACGTTCATCACTGTAGATGATGTGAGTTCCCTTCTAGATTGTAGTAGTTGTCATATGCTTATGTTAGGATCCATGTTCGAGGGCTGACGGCAACGCCCACAACACTGTAAGACAAAAGTCAGCGTCTACAACACTATTGGGCTCTGTCAGGCCGAAAAGGGCTTAAAGCGCTCGTCCCGTCGTATCCTGATAGTACCTTCATGCAGGCGTGCAGGGCATGGTCCTCGGTACTACGGTTGACTTGAATGTCCTGTCGTACCCTATGCTCATCATTATGAAGGAGTAGGGTGTAGTCGTCGGGTGAGGCGGAGCCAGCCCTCATGGGTCGGGCAAGGTGGAGCCAGCACTTGGGGGTCGGGCGAGGTGGAGCCAGCCTTGGACGTCGGGCAAGGTAGAGCCAGCCCTCGGACGTCGGGCGGGGCGGAGACTTGCCCTCGGACATCGGGCAAGGCAGAGCCTACCCTCAGACATTGGGCGAGGCGGAGCCAGCCCGGAACGTCGGGCGGGGTGGAGCTTGCCCCCAGACGTCGAGAGAGGCAGAGCTTGCCCTTGGACATCGGGCGAGGCGGAGTCTGCCCTCAGACGTCAGGCAAGGCGGAGCCCGCCCAGGACATCGGGCGAGGCGGAGCCAATCTTCAGTCATTCGAGCAAGAAGTGTAGCTGTGTTCTTGTCTATTTAGAAGCATCAGCGTTTGATGGTTATTAGTTCCACCTCATTGGATACCCCAGTATTAGGTCCCCGACAGTAGCCCCCGAGCCCCCGAGCCCCCGGGTGATTCGGATAGAATTGCCTGGGGGGTGATTTGACTTGCCAGAGGGTGCGCACGAGCGCACCCGACGGGTGTAGCCCCTGAGCCTCGGGTGATTTGGGTAGAATCGCCCGGGGGGTATTTCGATTCGCCAGAGGGTGCACGCAAGCGCACCCATCGGGTGTAGCCCCCGAGCCCCCCGGGTGATTTGGGTAGAATTGCCTAGGGGTATTTCTATTCGCCAGAGGGTGCACGCGAGCGCACCCGTCGGGTGTAGCCCCCGAGCCCCCGGGTGATTCGGATAGAATCGCCCTGGGGTAATTGTAACACCCCAGGTGTTTGCCACCGGTTAAGCAATGGGTTTGAGCTAAAACCTGGTATATTAAGTGAGGATGAAGATATCAATGTCAAACCTATAGAAACGAGCCCCAACCTAAACTTGGATATTGCACCTTTGCTCGCCTATAGACCCCTTTTCAAGATATATGCTTGGGTGGTGTGATTGGGATATCTTCATGTGTCTCACATCAATACCCATCTATATTGGGCACTCGAAAAGTTTCATGAAGTTTGGAATCAAAAAGTCACATGAAATGACGAGTTATGTCCTTGCTTGAATTAATTTATAAAGTGAATGGAATTCTCGATCGTCAACCAAATCTTGCAACCATGCCCAAATGACTCTAGATGAACTCTACAACAAAAGTCATGAAAGGTTCATGTTGAGCAAATGCCAAGAAAACGCTCCAATGGATCAAAAGGATAATTTAAGCTTCATCGTGATCCTACTTTGGTCAAAGTAGAACAGTAGGTTCTATACCAGTTTTGAGGTTGGACCTTAAATGAAAGTTGTAGTCCATATCATGTAGAACAAACTTTGTTTTTGGACTAAGAGCTAGATCATCTTGGAAGTAAGTCAAATCGAGGTCACAAGATCGAATTTGCTGCTGATTTCAGCACTTAGAAATATTCTAAGTCTGAAATTCATCGACATCGGCATTGACGTCTCGTTCTCCGAAATTCGTTAAGCAACTTGACTTGACCCCAAAATAAAAGTTGGAGCTTATGTGGTGGAGAAGAGCAGGCAAGAAGATGGCACTTGTCGGACTTTATTTTGCCCATCAATATGGAAAGATTGTTAATTGTTGCCGATACTTTGACAATGTCATATTGGCACTTGATTATTTCTAATCTGTAGCTCTAATGGCTGTGCACTCTTAATATGAAATGTAGAGTAGGCCGAGATTGACAACTTTGCTTTTGGGCCCAAAGTCTAATTCGGACCCGAGCTA